ATCGTCTTTCCTAAACGTCAGGTCGTACGTTGTGATGATCACATCACACGTGCCCTGCCGGATATTCTCAAGAATGCTGTCCTGGTGCAAAAAGCGCTCTGCTTGTGATCCGTAGTATGGCGTAAAGTGGATGGTCTTTGAGAAGCGCTCAAATTCACGACACCAGTTCTCCAAAGTCGATCCTGGTACAACAATAAGCGCAGGTTTGCCCCCGTTTTGCTCTTTCAGATGCGATAAAAACGCAATAATTTGGCATGTCTTGCCCAGACCCATGTCGTCGGCCAAAATACCAGATGTCTTCGTCTGCCACAAAAGATTCAGCCAGTTGAGACCGACAACCTGATAGTCTTTGAGCTCGATATCATCATTCATGATGGCAGGCTGTTTCAGTAGCTTCGTACGGCTGGCTGCTTTGCGTACGCTCTGTAACTCCGTATCGCTGCCATTGGGACTCCGCGGCGTGTGATAACCTGAGTCTCGCGCAGAGCTGGTGTCGCTGCTATCGTCGAGACTAGTTACATCCATGCCTTCCTCCGTCGAAGCACCAAAAATGTCAATCCCCCATCGAGCCATTCCTGCAATCATTGGCTTTCCAAGGACTTCACATTGCTTGACGACTGAGTCGATAGTAGAGTATGCGTTCCACATACCCTCGGTGGACTCCACAAGGCGCGTACCGGTTGTTATTCGCGGCTTACGAGCCTTCTTCTTTCCCTTCTCGACTGGTGCAAGGTCGGCATGAACTTTACGAACGGCATCGAGCGAAGCAAAAGGACGTTGTTGGAATATCTCTTGTATGTCCTCCTCCTTGTGCCCGGACAGATCAACCATAGCCTCGACTGAACAAGTGTTGAAGAAGTTCAAGAGAGCTTTCTCGTCGAAACTATTCTCCGCCGCCATGCTTGCGTCCGGGTCGTCATCGTCAATAACATGCGCGGCGTCAATACCCTCATCCTCGTCCGAAGAGACAACGATTGGGGCTTGCTTCTTGGGCGGTTGCGGGCGCTGCGGTGAAGCGTCTGGTGAGGGCGAAAAGGCGACTCTGCCTTTCCTATCTGTTCCCTTGACGAGCCGACCCCTCTTCCTCGGTTGCTCCCTCTCAGGGCTATCAATGACGACCGGGGCAGTCTGCGTTGCTCCCAGCTTTGAGTATTTGTCCTGTAATGACTTCACTGGCTGCTTCAATACACGCTGGGCAGTCTTCTTGACAACCGGATTTGACTTGGGCTGAGCTACACCAAACTGAGGAAGTTGAAGCAACTCGTCGTCGGACTCTTGGTCTGCCAAGTATGTGGAAGCATCCTGGACATTGCCCTTCTTCATGACCAGCGCCTCGTACACCTGCTTCACTGTACGTAAGTGATATACGTTTTTTAGTTGTTGCGTGGCGTGCTTCATAGTAACATCTTTTATATCGTCCAGAGTCATTTCGTCGTCCCTGGTCAAGTCGACTGGCATGGCACGCGAAGGACGTCCTTGCGGCACTGCCTTTTGCCTCTTCGGTGGCGTACTTGAACCGTAGCGATCAGACGGCCGTTTCCGTGAATCATCGCCGCTGTATTTGTATCCCGATAAATCGAACATCGGCTTCTGCGGTGTCTCCTCAACTCTCGACGTCATTGAAACCATCTCAATCTTAGACAGGGGTATGTTCGACCTGAACTCAGACTCTTCTTCGTCCGGGTCGCGTTCGACAGGTGGATCGTCGTCAGAGGTAATGTCGTGGATTGGCTTGCGAACGGCTTGTGGAGGAAAGAAGCTCGTGCCAGGCGGCGCCATTGGATTGCTATAGCCCATATACGGGCGTTGCGACTGGGGCGACATGACGGGCGAAGAGTAGCGGGTAGGCGACGAGCGCGGGACTTGCAATTGCGAAGAAACGGTGCTTTGGACTCTGTTTGCGCGCGGAGTGACTATAAGAGTAGGTTGGGTGCTATCAGATGGCGCAGCAAAGAAAGGCGAGCGTTCACCGAGGATTTGCGTCGGCTGGGTGACGTAGGTGTCGTTGGCTTCGTCGTTGCCATGTGAAGCAGCGCGTGATATAGTAGGCGGTGGTGAAGACGAGACTATAGGATCGCGACGATACATTGTGTAACCAGTAGTACAATAGCGACTTTGGTTGTGCGTGGTCGCGGGCGCGGGCGCGGTGAGAGTGGGAAATCGACTTGGCCGCCTTGCGGGGACAAGAAGAGGATAAGGAAACAAGAACCTTCAGGCAAACAAACAAAGGAGGACGGGAGTAGACAAAGCAACGAGCATGGTTCGCTATGCCCTTGCCGAAATCTAGCCAAAGTGAGGGCCAAAGCGTGTGGCGAGCTTCGTCAAAAACACTCACGCGTTGGAACCACTTTACGCGTTGGAAATGTTGCGCTTGGACCTCCGCCTCTCTATTACGTTACTGCTTTTGGCTGCGGACCAGCCTTGGAGGCCTGTCGCTCACATGCACGATCCACACCACACGACAACACAATACTCAAAATGACAACTAGACGGATTGTTACCAGCGAGAAGTCGACTCTCGACTACGATGGAAAGGGTGCACCAGAGCCATCCAACACCTCTCCGGCTGTGCCGTCGTGCGTCTCCAATGCTAAGTAGAAGTACATGGACGTACACCATGACTTACATGACAACAGATCTGTCATCTGGAAGTTGATGAGCTTCACTTTTGCCATGATCACACTACCAATCGGCACCTACTTCTTCACCGTGAACTGGGTCTTTCAGGGTGCGCCGTCCTTGTCATGTGCTAAGGAGGAGTGCTGATTTGATCTAGGCAACGCAACGTATGCAGGGGGTCTAGCCGCACTCATGGCAAACGTCGTCTTGATAGCCTATGTCATCATGGCTTTCCGGGACGACCAAGAAGAGATGCGGGAGGAGGCTGAAAAGTCCAAGAAGAAGCTGTAGGATATTGTGGCCATGCCAAGTATTTAAAACAAGAGGCATATATCATTCATGCTTCGATAGCCGGACACGGAATTCACGCGGACGCCCGCTTGTCCGACCCAGTCGTTTCTGATTCTGTTCGCTAGAAATGCTCTTCTTTTTTAAAGTTAAGCGGAATCATAGGTCCAACCAAAAAGAGCCGTTGTATCAGCATAGTCACGGTCAAAACACAAAACTTCGTCCATCACAAGATTATGATTACCACATTACTAGCTGACTCGGCGAGCGAGCTTCTATTGTAGCAGCAAATTCCAAACTACAAGGAGTGACAAAGGTGGTATATCCTAACCCTAGACCTAAAACGCCGTCGTAACGCCAACATGCTGTGCACGCAGATGCGCAAAAGGATGGCCTGACCAGAGGGTACTGGAGCCGGTCAACAAGCCTTCTGTTCGTCGCGTAGCAATCCGGCCCCTTTCATAACTACCCCTGGTCCACCGTTGGCGGGTGCCAGAATGCACCCTTTGCCGTTTAGCCCCTGCATCTCAACAGGTCTCTATAGGGCGCAGGTCGGTAAATGTGACCGTCCATCAACTTCCCCGCACCAAGTCGGGTAATATTGATGCATAGCGACTTAGTCTTTGCTGAACCGTCTCTTAAACCAGCTCTTCCTCTTTTCCCCGGCATCGCTGCCTTTCTTGGATAGCGTAGTCGGCCTTTGTTCCGTCACAGGGGGCCCGGAGCCGCCTAGTTTGATAGGAGCTGCCGGAGTCGCGTGTTTTGGCACTGGTGGTGGCGCGCCATTCTGCGAGGGCATGCCGTTTTGCGACGGTTGTTGTGTAAAGTAGCCGGGCCCGGCTTGCTCCTCCATGATAGGACCTCGTCCAAAGCCATTGAAGCCGTATTGTGAGCCCAGGTCTGGTTGCGGTGGCTGGACGGGTACGCCGCGCTCAATCGAACTGTTCTCGCTGCTGGGGTCATTCGAGTAGGGACCGTCGCTGTGACTCCCGTTTGAGCCATTGGTGTTTACCGTGTCGCGCGATTGCTGGTATCCGTTCATTGGGTATACACCCTGCATACTTTGTCGGTTGTTGAAGGTTGGGTCGGATTGCATCCGGTTTCCGTATCGCATGCGAGGCGGCGGCCCGCCGCCAACAGGTCCGCCGTGAGCGTAGCCGTCGACGTAGCTGTCGCGTTGTGTTTGCTTGTGAGGGAAATAGCCGCTGTTGGTCGAGAAACGACTCTGATCGTTGTATCCACCTCCGTTGCCGCCGCCGCCGCCATAGTAACTGCTTCGGCGGCTTCCATATGTGCTCATGACCTCGGACTGGTCGACACGCATCGACTGGGCGCGGCGTCTGTATTCGCCGTCAATGGCGGCTTCGAATGAGCGGATCGTGTCGAGCGGACGTTCCCATCTCGAACGAGTGGGGTTGGAAAGGTCGGGATCGGCTGGGTGCACAGTTAGACGACGAAGCTTGCACACGGCACAAAAGAACACAACTCACCAATGGGGTTTCCGGCGCCGTCATTGTGCTGGAACGAGCGGAGCGACTGGAGCGTGGGCTTCTCAAGCGCAGCAGCGACTGGGGGGTTTGTTAGCACATGTCGTGGTCTTGTGTTGGCCGACATACTGGGCTGCAACTCAACCATGGCGGCGTTGGGGTTTGCTTTGGTATTGATATCGTAGTGGGTCTTTTCGCTCTGTTTGCGCTCGTGCTTGGAGGCTTTCTTGTCGCTCTTGGGACTTCCGGGCGCTTCGCGACTTTTGTTGCTGTGGAAGCTAAGGCCGCGCTGGCGCGTTTGCTGTTGCGTCGTCTGGTCCATGATTGCGGCGTCGCGCAATACCCAGTTTTTTCAGCGGAATTGCTCTGAGCTACGGCTTCAACGAGGCTGGCGGGCGGGTAATGCGGAGCTGGCGTGGGTGTGGGTGGAGAAGGGCGAGTGTTCACGCACTACAAAGTGATCCCAGCGTGGCGGCAAGGGTAATGATAAACTGAGACGAAGGCACGCCTACAACAGCCGCTGTCGCAAAAGAAACAAGAAGAGTGACAAGGACGAGGGCGGATGCAATTACAAGCTTCACGACGGGCGGGCGTTGGAGGTTAGTATCTAATAAGCTGAGTACGACGCGCGGTACGTAAAGGCCTCGCCTGCTGCCACAGTTGACCACGTCTGGCCTGGGCGCGACTCGTCATCACCAACGCCTGCGCCAGAGCCATTCCGATTGGAGTCATGGGCATGCCGCGAGGAACCTGAAACTTGCAGCGGAGGCTTGCGGCTGAGAGATGGTGATAAGACGCGCATCCTTGCAGCGCGTCTTTTTGCTAGCTTGGGCCGTCGAGCGATGAGGACATGTCCACTGCCGTACTGTATCTCCCCCATGATTGCACATGTGCATGCCGAAAATACTTTGGCACTGTCCAACTTACTACATCACTTGTCGCCACCAGCAACCCTTTGTCGTCAGAAGCGGCCGTTAGCATCAGCAGAAATGCGACGGCTTCAATAGTCTGTCTGCCGGATGCGGTCCTATTGCTTGGCACCCTGCCTCACCACTACCACACACACCAACCTCTCCACCCCAACACCACGCAGCGGGACCACGCGGCCGGTTCGCTGCTGTCGCCTCGCTGTCTCGGATAATTGCACTGGCACTGGCACTGGCACTGGCACTGCACAATCTGCCTGTCCTGTCACGGCACGCATGTCGCTTTCGATTCGATATCGCGCTGCATCACGCACTAAAGTACCGCAGCAGCAAATGTCAATCAGACTACGCCAGCACCCGGCCAAATTCAGCAAGAAGCGTGCATGGCTGTGCATTTGCATTCCACGCCGTATACCCGTGCTGTCAAACCCATTGGTCGGCATTGAACAGCCGCGTCCATGTGGAAGTGCGATGCACGCTGTAGTGCGCAATTGGCATTGCCCTTCTTCTATTAAAAGCCCTTTGTCAAAGATGCTCTGGCAATCATGACATCGATGATGCAGGTGGCGTTACCCCCCAGCCTCGCCCGGATTTCCTCCCGCAGACACATCCACACCCACACCCACACACCCGACGTTCCGCCCAGGGCTGGCGCATTGGCATTTAATGCTTTTCTGCTCTACGGGCATTTACACCCGGCTCAAGTCACGTCGCTTTCAAACAGCATGCGCTTCTGTGAATGCCTTTATTCAAATGTGCCATTCAGTTGTGCCCAGATACGCTAAAACCTTTTCCATTTCCGAAAAAACTCCCAGCTTACGCTGACGCCAAGACATCTAGCTGTGCGTAGGCATGTTTACCGACGCCTTAGTTGCTACGGCATCTTCACTTCTCCACAGACTCGTTACCGTCTTTTGTTGTGTGTAGAATTGAAGTCCCGGTTTACCGTAAAAGGTGCTAGCGCCACCACCCGCAACTGACTTCTTGTTGCCAGTGAAGGAGAACATGGGGAGCTATACATGATCAGCGTTCATCGTATTCGACAGGGGCAGCGGACTTACAGGGACGGGAATGGGCACATTGATGCCGACCTGTCCGGCCTCAATCTCGCGCTGGAAGCGACCGGCAGTGGCACCTGAGCGCGTGAAGATGGCTGTGCCGTTGCCGTATTCGTTGGCGTTGATCATGTCGATGGCTTCGTCAATCGTCTCAACATTCAAGCAGACCAGTACGGGCCCGAAAATCTCCTCCTTGTAGCACTTCATGTGTGGCTTGACGTTGGCGATAATAGTCGGTCCGACCTGACGACAGTTAGTACAACGTAGTCCACACTTGTTCCAGACGTTCCGAATACTTACCCAATTGCCATTTGCGTACTTTTCAGATGATGGCTTTTGACCACGTCCATCAAGAAGGATAGTCGCACCCTCCTCCTCGGCGCTCGCAATGAGATCTTCGATCCTCTTCTTGGATTGCGGGCTGATAACTGGTCCCAGGTCTGCGCCTTCTTCAAAACCACCGTTCATCGAGAGCTCCTTTGCACGCTCTGCAATCTCAGGAACCCAATCTTTGGTCTCACCGATCATGACCAGAGTGCTCAGAGCCATGCATCGCTGGCCTGCAGCACCGAATGCAGCACCAGCAATCGCGTTCAACGCATGGTTCTTGTTGCAGTCGGGCAGAACAGCTGCGTGATTCTTCGCGCCCAAGTTGGCCTGCACACGCTTGCCCTTGGCAGATGCACGCGCATAAATGTACTCTCCAGCTTGGTTGCTTCCCACAAAGCTGATTGCCTTGATACGGGGCTCGTCAATGATAAAGTCGACAGTCTTGGCCGCACCATGTACAATGTTGATTACACCTGGAGGGAATCCAGCCTTCTCTGCGAGCTCCGCGAGAATCATGCAGGCACCAGGGTCACGTTCCGAAGGCTTGATGACGCACGTGTTACCAGTAACGGCGGCGATGGGGATGGTCCAAAGAGGTATCATAGCGGGGAAGTCTGGGTAGTACATTAGCACCGTTGCAATGCTGCCCAAGTTATGTACTCACTGAACGGGCAGATAGCAGCCACCACGCCCAATGGCTCTCTGTAGCTGCGTGTCTCCATGTCTTTTGCCACCTCAAGTACCTCACCAGTCATCTGCGTCGTGATACCACAGGCAGTCTCGGCAACTTGCAAGCCGCGGAGCACATCTCCTCGTGCATCCGCAAACGTCTTGCCCTGCTCCAACGTGATGCTGGCAGCTAGCCTGTCCCAGTTCTCACGAATCAAATGTGTGTATTTAAACAAGATTTGCTGTCTGTGAAGCAGACTCGTCTCTTTCCAAGGCTTGAACGCCTTCTCGGCGCTATCAACTGCCGCCTTGAGCTCCTCATCGGTGCTTTGGGGAACGCGCGTCACCAGGTTGTTGGTCGCAGGATCATGCAGATCAATCCATTGCGTTGCTTTTGAAGCCACGAACTTGTTATCGACAAAGTTCGGTGTATCTGTTGGCGACTTTATTGGCTCGTGGTTCATGGGATACGACTCGGCCACGGCAGACGATGCTGGCTTGAGGTGTTGAGCCGTGGCATGCAGCCGCCGTGCGGCGACTTTGCTTTGACTAACTGGCGACGACATTCTGCTACACAGAGGAGCTGCGCGAGAGAGGGAGGAACGAGCGGTCAATGTGGGGAGACGTGCGAGCGCTCGGCGGGAAGCCATGTTGCTTATGGCAAGTGCCGGTCAGGTGTGCGGAGATGTGGGAGCTCAGTGCAAAGTTGGCGAGGAATTGAAGAGCCAGCCTGTGGACCAAGACGTTGGAGAGAAACTTAAACTATGGTAAAGACCACGTAGAGCTCATGCAACAGGTGCGGCTATTCAGGGAAAACAATCCCGCCTTACCTTCTCGACCGCTTGTTGGAGTGCTGGAGATGTGGTGCGGGGCCTTTCCGAGGTAGCTCGGGATCGGGAATTCAAGGCTTATCCACCTCCGCGGCGTTTGCGGCGTCTGTGTGGTCATTTTGATCTCAATGGCGAGTCAGCACCACTAAACCCAGGATAGCAACCATGGAAACCACAGCACAGAAGAGTATAGTAAAACCAGGAGTGTGATGGATGTTTTCATTGACCATATTTTCTGGCCTAATACCCTAGACGCTGCATGCCTTGATTCCCAAAAACAAAGACTTCAATACATATTTATAACGCCGTGACCCTCAATGATGTTAGCCACAAGTCTGAAATCCAATAATGTACGGTCTGGATAATCCTCCAAGACCACGTCCCTATGGTATCCTTTTCTTCACATCTTGCACTCTCCGCGAGCTGTTTCTTTTCACCTTGTATGTGCCATGGCAACCTACGACTTGTTGGTGCGCTTGTTGACCTCAGCCTGAGCCTTCTCAGAGCCAGTAGCGACAGCCTCGGCTGTCTTGTCCTTGGCCTTCACTGCAGAGTCCTTAGCCTTCTTCGCCTGAGCCTTGACTTGCTCCTTGGAGGGAGCAGCGCCGGAGCCGAGGAGGACAGAGGCAAGGATAGCGAAGATGGTGACGAGGATAACACCAACACCACCAGCGACCTCAGGAACAAACTTGATGGCCTCGACAGGGTCACGCTTGGCGATCTCGACAAAGAGCTTGGTCTTCTCCTGGACATACTTGAGCGGGTCGTCCTTGAAGACAAGGTCGCTGGGCGACTTGGGTGTGTCGGCGGGCTTGGGCTTGGTGGCCTCCTCTTCAGCCTTCTCAGCTGCGTGCTTGGGGTCGAAGGTCTCGGCCTTGAGCTTCTCAGCTTCTTCAACCGAGTGGCCAATGTAGATGTTGTCGAAGAGGATGTCGTTCTGCATGGTCCAGAGTTCGAAACCAATCTGTGAAATGTCAATAAATCATGTTGCAAAGAACGGGCAAAGAATAACTTACAGCGCCGATGGGCTCAAAGTTGGCCGGAGTCTTGTCCTCAAAGTAGTCAGGGTTCGGGATCTTCCTGGGGGCCCATTCGCCCTTGTAGGCAGGGTTGTCAATAAATGGTGCAGCCCACTTGCCACGGAAGTTGGGGTTCTTCTTCATGGGAGGCTCCCACTTGCCGCAGCCAGAGACTTCGTCGCACTTGGGGTTGGGAACGGTGGGTGGAATCCAGTCACCATCCTCCTCGTCATCCCAGTCTTCGGGCTTCTCAGCCTCGGGGTCGGGGATGGTGGTGGGCTCATCATCAAGCCAGTCCTCAGGCTTGGTGGCCTCCTCGTCAACAATCTCAAAGGGCGCATCATCGTCCCAGTCTTCGGGCTTCTTAGCCTCAGGGTCAGGGATTCTAGCGTCATCAACCCAGTCCTCGGGCTTCTTGTCGTTGGGGTCATCGATCTCCTCAGGGGGGTTGACGGACGGGGTGAAGTCCTCAAGGAGGGTGCCGTTGCGGATAGACTCGCCGTCGATCTTGATCTCAAAGTTCTGGTCGGGCTTGACGATGAGAGTGTAGAGGGTCGACGTCTTGACGATACGAGCCATGGGGGGAGCGTTGAGGTGCTTCTCCTCATATTCGCCGGTCTTGGGGTTCTTGTGGCGGAAGATGAAGTGAACCTAAACTGTGAGCTTTGGTAGTTTCTAGGATTTGCGGATACATACCTTGTTGGTAGCACCGCACTTGTCAGGACCGAACATGATGATGTAGGGAGAAGCGTTGGAGAACTCCTCGGCGTGGAGAGCCTTGTTGTCCTGGAGAAGCTTCATGTACGCACCACCGCACTCGAGGCCATCTAGAACCATGTCAGAATAGTGATACTAGACAAAATCTGGTACAACAACTTACCCTGAAGCTTGACCTCATACTGAACAACAAGGGTGTTATCCTTGTTGTTAATGGCCTTGGGGAACTTGGCGGAAATGGCGTGGTGAGCAGCTTTGTCCTTGATGACCAAGCCCTTGTCGCCCTCCATACCCTTCAGCACAGTAGGCTCCTCGACGGCCCAAGTGCCAACGTATGCCCATTCTTCGTCGTCGCTCTTGACATCCTTCTTCGCATGCGAGGGCTTCCACCGGGATTCCCAGTCGTCGGTGAACTGCTCAAGGAAGGGTGCCTTGAGTTTTGTGGGCTATCCTGCCGTCAGTGGTGTTCTACGTTTACTGACATCATGGACACATACGGTGAATGTAGGCTTCGCGACCGTGGACGCGGCGGATGATTCAGCTTCGGGAGCGCTGGCGTCGTCTGCACGCACAACGGCGGCAGCGAGCGCAACGGTGGCACCAATTGCAAAGCGCATCGTGCTTGCCTGCTTTCCAAGGGAGAGCAGAAGAATTGGGACAGAGTTGAAGTAGAAGTGGAAATTCGCAGAGGAAGGCTGGGGCTCTGTGGTAGATAAATAATGTCGAAGCTGACACCTGGTCAACTCGGAGCGGGCAGTTCCCCACTATTCCTGGATTGGCCAGTGCCACGGCACCCCTGGCCTATTGCTATGCCGCCATGGACGAAGCTTCTCGAATTGCTTCACGTAACTGCCAGCTGGCCTGATGCCATGATACTACAACGCGTATTGTGCGCGTCCGGAAATTGTATGTCGTGCGTCTGATTACTTCTCGGCGTGCTTCATATTTCGCTTTCACGCCAAGGTTCGCGATAACACCGTTGCCGTGCTTAGTATGCATGGCCTAGGGACAACTGAGGTAACTTCTTCCATCACTAGACCTCGGGCTCGGTACTATCCAGATGATACCGTCCCAAGTAATCTTGGAGAGAGCATCGGGCATTGAATGCATCTTTATGCACGTGATGCCCGGCAAGTCGTCCAAGGTTTGATGTTACCTAGGTACGCTTGTGTACTACTACATTCGCGCAACTCGGCTAAGTAGGCAATGCCATGGTAGGCCACGTCGTTGAGTGCATTAGCCGGAGCAAGTCCAGTGGTTCACATCACGTCATGCAAAAGGTAGTTGTGTATTTCACGTATATATTATCGATCGTGGGGGAGCTATATCCTATAGTCCCAACCATGCATGGACGACGCTTCCAATCGAAGTATACCAAAACACCGCCGCCTTGCCAGGCCGTGAAATGTGGACCGTGTCTGTATGCTACCTGCCCACCCTGACCATGTGAATATTACAAGCCGCAACGCCATACGCTAAAAGTCAAAGTCCTAATTGCTCCATGCCGCATTCCATATGACATGTCCTATATCTCGTGCAGTATTTACCGTGTCAACAACCCTGCCTAGCAATGTGGGCGGCAGAGGATCTTCTTCGTCTTCAGTAAAGGGCATGAACATACCCGAAGGTGTTCTGCGGAATCCACCACCTTCTAGTGATGCTGAAGACGCGCTGCGCCGTAATGAGTAGGGATCTGAAGCAGTGGGTGTGCTGGGTCGCTTTGCGCCATATGCGCTTGCGGGATCAAAATACTCCCCGCTCTCTTCGTCATCCTCTGCAAGCAGGAAGTTGCGTGAGGGATTGGAAGGCTTCAACGTCTCCGACGAAGGCGACGGGGAGAGTCCACGTGGCTTCCAGAAGCCAAGGGAGTGGGATTGTTGCGTGTCAGGCTCGTCGTCGGGAGCGTCTGTTTTATACTTGAGCGTCGTTGACGGCAGCTTGGCAATAGTTTTGTTGTCCGTGCTGATGCTGGCCGTCGACGCCGTCCGTGAGAGCGACTTCTTGCGGCGTGAGCGCTTCATCATGACGACGCCTTCGTCCGACGACGAGTCGTTTTCCTGGTACTTTGCCCAGGGGTTGTGGTTGCAGTCGTCCTCTTCGTCGTCGGCGTCTTTGCACTCGACGGCGATGCACTGCTCGACCTTGTCATCGAAGCGAATGTGGCGCTTCTCGCCATGGTCGGGCGTCTGCAGGCCAGAGGTGGATTTTGAGGAGAAATAGTCGGTACCTTCCCATAACAGGCCCCGGGGAAGTGTGGAAGGTGTGGGGTAGTCAGGGGTGGCTCGGCCGATGATTGGTCGGTTTCTCCGCATGTCCAGCGTCACACCGGTTGTTTGCTGTGCCTGCACCGACTCAGCGGCCTGCTGCACTAGCGAGGATGAAGACAGCGACTTCTGCAGCATGGCCTCTGACATGCTGCGCTTCTTGAGAATGGGCTTCTTGACGCCATTGACAAAAGAGTTGGTCTTGGACAGCCGGCTCGCAGGCTCAGAGTTTTGCTGCGAGCAGAAGCGATTTGAGGCAGGCTGCATTGGTCCGTACAGCCAGGTCACGTCGACGTCCTTTAGCCTAGGCATTTCGTTAGTACATGCCAAAAGAAAAAACCTGCAAGATGCGTGCACGGATGGGGGTGATCGACACCCCTGCCGCTGCAGATCGAAATACTCGAGACTCACCAATTCAATGTCTCGGGCGACACCGTCTTGAGCTTAAACTGGGCCTTGGCCCACGTTCGCCACGACGCATTTTCGAGCCTGGAGCGCTCGCCGTAGACGCTGCGGTGCTCGACAATGTGCCGCCACGATGACCAGATGTCCTCTTCCCGCCACTCGTACGAGAGATAGTCGACGTGGTGCGAGGGTTCCTTGCGCACTGCCGTGTCATCCTCGGAGATTGGGTGAGGGTCGGGCGTGGTCATGGGCGTGTCGGCGGACAAAACGTCGGTGGGCGAGGGTGAAGGGAGCGCGCCCGGGCGCATGGTTGTGCTTGCAGTGTTTAATGAGCCGAGGTCGATGGGGGTGACGCCGCCGCCGCCGCTTCTGCTGCTGTTGCTGCCACTTTTTTTGTACTGCCGCGCCGAGCCGTAGTTGGGGAACGACAGCCCATCGTCCTCACTGCTCGACTCGTCCGACTTGTCGAGTGAGAGGCTGCTGGCCGACGTCGAGTAGACGGACGAGGTGCGCGACGAGCTCAGCGACGGCGACCGCAGATCCGGCAGCGAGCACTGGTTCTTGCGCAGCGGCGAGTAGGCGTCGTAGGCGAGCGACGACGACGAGGGCGAGCGTTGAAAGGGCGCGTTGTCTCGCGGGAGGGATAACATGGCCGTCATGGTGGGTTGGCGTGGGCGGGAAACAAAGGGCCAATTCAATGCCTCAATATCTATCACAGCTGTTGCCAAACGGCGGGGAGCGAATTTGGCCGGCTGCTCCGTGTCGACATGCGGTGTGTGGCGGCGGCGTGCGGCGGCGGCGGGCTCTCGTCAAGTATATATCTGGGGGGCTGCGGGGGGGAGCGTGGGCGTCGACGTGGTGCCGTTGTGGTGCTCACTCCAAGAATGCGGGCCGTCGACGCAAGGGCAGCGCTGGCTCGAGTACACAGTCAAAGTATGGTATGGATTGGGGGGACGATTAAGAAACAGAGGTTTGGTTGCAGATGGCAACATGGTGCGCAAGCTTCGACCCGATGGACTAGACCACCACCGCAGACCCAGCAGACTAGCCACAACCCCGCAAGCCTGCAAATTCGCAACCGTGGAAACTCGAAAGAGCATGCCGGCCGCTTGCAGCCAGGCCGGAGTGCCGCACAAGACAGGCCCTGGTCGCTGCGAAGGGACTGGCGAATCGCCCGCCTCGTACGGGACTGACACGCTGCTGCTTCAACGTCACCTGCGACGCCGTGGGAGCTGCCACAAAGGCGTCGCCTGTCGCCGTCAACGGGCTTGCCAAACCACAGCCAGGGCCGTCGCGTACCGGTAGCTGCAGAGTGCAGACGGACGCGCTGCAAAGGCCTGTAAAAGCCTGCAAAAGCCTCTTCGGCTGATCGGCATGCAGCCCAACAGAAAGGAAAGAGTCGGAAAAGCCTAGACCGTTGCTACGACAAGTCCGCGTGGGCCATGTCGTCTGGGATGCGTGGGATGGCCTGCTTCACTGCGAGCGCATCCTGCCCTGCCGACTGCGCATCCGGCGAGCGACTACCGTTGGATGCTGCACTGTTGTGCGCCCACTGCGGGGAAAACGGTGGGAGGGGTTGCGGCTGTAGGCGGTGTTACAACAACAATCTCCCATTCGGCTGCACCAGTTGTCGATACTGGCTGCCTGAGCGTCTGGAGGGATGCTGCCACATCTCCTCACCCCGCTGTGGTGCTGCACGTTAGACTAGCCCTATATCTAGCTTCTCAACACCATGCCAACCCCCGACGCACAGACACGCAGCTTGCAGCGTATGACGAAAACCGCCATGCCTACTCATCCAAACACCTGCTCCTCCACACGTCTGCCAGCTGCATCTACCGCCTGGGCGCTGGGATTCGGTGGAGAATGACGTGGTTCATCCAGTTATCGGAGCAGGAGCTTCAACAGCGCTGTCCTGCACTGATCGAGTCCAGACACGCCCTGGTTGCGCCATATAATGAAACGCTCGCTCCCTTCTTATCTTTTACAGTTATATCAGCGCCTTGCGAGCGATTGCAAGCTCAATACCACTCTGATCTCATGATACCCACTGCTGCTTTTTGCCTGCTCCGTGCTAACCATAGCTCGCCCTAGAGCACGCGAAGAACAAACTACTCACGGGTATTACAGCGGGGAACGGCCGCTCAACAGTCGTGGTCGTTGGCCTTGGCCGTCGAGCCAACTTCATCTGCACATAAACAACCCTAGCTTCTTCCTCATTTCACCTCTCCGCGGCCTTCTCTGTCGTACTGTGGCTTTTCTCTCCCGCACGCCGTTATGTGACACTGCATGAGCCGCTTGCTCGTTAAACAAGCGATAGTGCCCCCCTTTCAAGCATCTTGTTAAAACGCTTTGAGGCGTGCAAGCTCACCGTGTCAGCCTACTACTCGTAATACGGCTTCTCGTCGGCGCAAAGTGTTAGCAGTGGCTTGCCTCCAAGGCTGATGCTGACAATCACTTCTCCAAGTGGGCGTACAACACCACACCTCATCCATCGACCCAAGCACATCTTCTACGACGATGTCGTTGACTGCAGCGGCATGTGCCCTTATTCCCGGGAGATGGCTCAAGCAGCAACGGAGACTCGTTCATTGAATCGATCTAGCTCTCCACTCTACAAGGGTTTAGCGCTCGGTGATCGAGCGCGCCGAAGTGCGATGCCGACCCATTGTCTGTCATTACGCATGGCAAACTCGCTCGTGCGCCTTTATACATAGCACAGCCATACCTCACGTAGTGTTCTTTGAAATCAATCCTTCAGCTTTTCCTACTTTGATATGAGCGCCACGCACAGCACGACAAGCCCAGCTGCGAATCCACAGTCAGACTCAAATGCGCCCACAGACATTGGAAGTCCCTCGCTGAGCGTGGAGAAAAGAGACGAACCTGCACAAGATGGCGAAAACAATCTGAACGAGAAAGATGGAGGCGCAAATGGCACTGCTGTTGCGCCTGCAGCGCCCGCTGCACAGGATGATGAGCGTCCGCCACGAACGAAACTGCAGATATTTCTCATCATGCTGTCGCTTTCCATTGCCGTCCTACTCGTCGCTCTAGATATCACAATCGTTACGACCGCATTGCCCACGATTTCCCAAGAATTCAATAGCGCGTCAGGATACACATGGATTGGTTCGGCATATCTGATTGCTCAGTCGGCCGCCACGCCGATTTGGGGCAAGGTGTCAGACATTTTCGGGAGGAAGCCTATACTTTTGCTTACGAATGTCATCTTCTTTGTCGGATCGCTGCTTGCTGGAGTGGCTGTCAACATGAATATGCTCATTGCCGCTAGAGTCATCCAGGGCATTGGTGGTGGTGGCTTGATAACTCTAGTCAATATCACCATTTCCGACATATTCTCCGTACGAGACAGAGGCGCATACTTTGGTATCATCGGTGGTGTATGGGCGTTGGCGAGTTCGCTAGGTCCTGTTGTTGGTGGCGCGTTCACCCAAAAAGTAGTGAGTAGCCCACATGTCCACCCCTACTTCACACATTCACTCCCACAACACAAATACATTCTAAACACCTACTGACACTGGAATCGAGGATTGGAGATACTGCTTTTACATCAACCTACCATTTGACGGTGTAGCCTTCATCATCTTGTTCTTCTTCCTCGACGTCAAAACGCCCAAGACTCCATTACGAGAGGGACTGAAAGCGGTCGACTGGCTGGGCTCGTTCACTATGACCGGTGGAGTCATCATGCTTCTGCTAGGACTGGAATTCGGTGGCATAACGCATCCTTGGGACTCCGCGACGGTACTGTGTCTTATCATCTTCGGGGCCGTTGTCATTGGCATCTTTTTCCTCATTGAATGGCGGATAGCACCGTACCCACTCATGCCGCTCAGCCTCTTCTCGGAGCGTTCGAACTTAGCTGCTCTGGCTACTTGCTTCTTCCATGCCTTCGTGTTCATCAGCGGAAACTACTTTTTGCCACTTTACTTCCAGGGCGTCCTTGGAGCAACGCCAATCCTCTCGGGTGTGTATCTTCTACCGTCCGCAGTCGCGCTGTCAATTATGTCGGCGGCAACCGGAGTGATCATCAAAAAGACTGGACAATATCTACCCTTGGTAAGCGCCCGAATGTCTGTACGCAACCTACACGTGATACATTTGCTGACCAACTTTCAGATCTGGTTTGGCATGTTCATGATGACTCTGGGATTCGGGCTCTATATTAACTTCAATGTCAACACGTCCTGGGCTAAGATTATTATATTTCAAATCATCACCGGTATTGGTGTCGGCCAGAACTTCCAGAGTCCGCTTATCGCACTTCAGAGCAACATACCTGTAAGCCCAGCCCATTTGCGTCCTATTGCACATGACTTTCAATATGCCGCGCGGCATGTGGGATGTCATCCAGGGACATGGTTCCCCTACCGACTTGCATCTATTATGCATATGCTGACATAACTCAACAGAAACGAGACATTGCTACTGCAACGGCCACATTCGGATTTGTCCGCAATCTGGGCTCCGCGATTTCGGTCGTCGTCGGCGGAGTTATATTCAACAACGAGATAAGAACCAAACAACCGGAACTTGCTGCTGCGCTTGGCACACAGACCGCTCAGATGTTTTCCGGAGGTTCCGCTGGCGCCAATGTCCGAGTCATTCAGTCGCTGCCCGAAGCTCAACGGGCAGTTGCGCGAAAAGCATTTGCCGATTCCTTGAGTAAAATGTGGATTTTGTACGTCGCCTTCGCTGCTGCTGGCCTTTGTGTCAGTCTTTTGGTTTCGCGCAATATGCTCGATAAGCAACATGAGGAGACGAAGACCGGGCTGGAAGTTGAAAAGGCCAAAAGGCTTGAGAGGGAAGCCGAACGTAATGAAAGGCGGAAGAAGAGAGCTAGCAAAGGATCCATGCCTATTGATACTGAAGCGCAGGCAAGTCATCCAGGGGTTACGAGAGAGAAGGAAACGACAGCATGATCTTGTGTTATGACAGTCTGATTGCATCAAGCATGGTGTTTGGTAAAGGCATCTAAAAAAAATTCGGACGAGGGTTCTAAGTTATGGTTTTGAATGGATCATGGCGTAGATTGTCCATGCGTCAAAAGGAGCTCCAACATAGACACTACTTTTTTGTAAATTATGCATTTGTAATAAAAGCAAGTAATTTTCGCGAATGGTTTACATGAACAAAGAAACGTAAGTGAATGTATACATTAGGGCTCCATTGTCTTTGTGAAGAGTGTCTGCCTAGCATTGTTCAGAGTTGAGTCACAGGTGCACCAGGCCACGCCTACCTGATTTCACTTTCTACTCATAGCGCATGTCCAGGTAGAAATATGTGCTTTGTTCTGTCCCAGATGGACGGTGCATTTGTTCAACAAAGCTGGCGTGAAGGTCATAACACACTCAACCCCTTGTCTGTGAAAGGGCTATTCAGCCAGGCATTGACCTACAAGACGGCCTCTTCGTGAAGATCACACACCTTAGTGTACTTCCACAACATCTCAACATTACAACATGTGCTACTACCGATTCTACATCTTCCTAGGCTGCGGCCACCATACATTTTCCGAGACACCGATTAGATACTGCGAAGCCGCAAAGACAAAGGCAGCTGCGCATCTGGAAACTCCTTTGGATCGAGATAAGAGAGACAGTACCCAGGATCCAGCTTATGGCTCAGCGAAAGGTGACGAGGATGGTCATACAGATGAAGACTCATCACTGCTAAATGATGAGTCAACAGGAAGACCAGAGTCGTCGATCGCTGGTTCGGCGAGAAGCTCATACACAACTGTACACACAGATGCCGTCGATGTCGAGGACACAAAACACACTACTCCAGTGATCATGAAGCCTTGTGGCGAAGGTCGTGTCTACCCTCTTCACACCTTCAAACTCGAACAGATCTGCCCCATCTGTGCTAATGAGAGAGACAAGAGGCTACTTCAACTTGACAAAGTAACAGCCGAAATCACATTTGACGCGGCGAAGTGGCATTGGAAGGGGAGGGATGTAAGTGGGAAAAAGACTGATTCGGTTTGGAATGTGGGGGCTACTTTAGGAGGGTGGATAAAGGATTGGAGTAGAATAGGTGGGAAATGAAAATGTGAAAATAAGAAGACGACAATACGCAAGTAAAAAAGCGACATGAGTATTGAAATGGTGATGCCGATACGCCATGAGAGACGATGGTTCTACGTCACGTGCAAGCGCCGCCAATCGCAGCGCAGTTGATTCAGAGCTCACCAACACGTTCCACTCGGCGCGCATCTACACCACCGCAGCCTCAATTGACGTACGGAATCTACCCCAAATACTCTCCGGGGAGTAATTACGACACGCCGACCTCTTCGAATTATCTCCGCACATTCCACAGCCGCCGCAATGCCGACGCCAGAGTCCGAACTCTTCCTCGCCAAAAAGCCAAAGGTTGCGCCGACGTTTGAGGGCGTCGACTACGACGACAACACAGCTCTCAAGGCTGCACAGGATGCTATCATTAGGGAGCAGTGGGTCAAGAGCATGATGGCGCGGTTGGTGAGGGACGAAATGAGCAAGTGCTACCGGAGGGAGGGGGTCAACCATTTGGAGAAGTGTGGGCATCTACGAGGTATGAAGGCACCAATTTCGCGATGAGGAGCTCTGCATATCTGCTGGCAAGGGCTTTCGTACAAGGTTCCGAAAGGCGTGTCTACAGAAGGCAGGACATGGGGTAATACCAGAGTAATGGCTAACGGGAGTTACGCAGAACGGTACTTTGAGCTGCTCAAGGACGCAAAGGTCAAGGGATACCTCTTCGCGCAACAAAACTACCTCGACGAGCCGTTCAAGAAATAAGCGTACCTACAGAATACGACGGGCATGCAAGAAAGCACATGATGGACAAGCCACATATAGGAACCCTCGCCAGTGTCAACTACCAATACGAATACAATGCATTTGTTTGGTTTCTGATGTTCGAAAAGCATATGAGGAGACTTGTGGTAGGCTTCTCGTACTGGCGAGGCAGTGTATATACATGCCGGGAGAGAGGCTGCCCTATCACGAGCACCGCAAGTGTAGAATCGCAATGGTATGATTTGCAAGTTTTCTGTTGCTAAAGTGATCTCTCCTTGTTTAGGAAACGATTCCTTGTGTTGTTGGGCACTATAACTAACATCAGCCCATGGCATGATGCGCGGCGGAGGTTAGCTCATCAGCCCCGCGACAACGCAACCGCGTACTTGCATCATCAACAGTCCAGCTCTAAACAACAGCAGTCAACGCTCAACAAAATGCCCTTTCCATTTGTTCTACCCACGACTTCTAGCATATCCTTCATAGATTACTTCAATAGCAGCACGCACCCGTCTTTGCCAAACTGCGCAACAACTGCGCGTGGCGTCCTTCGCGATGTCTTGAAACGACACAAGCGCATACCACCTCCATCGCAAGCTTCGAATCTCTCCACCGTACTATCCGCCCTCAACGATTATATACCGTATCTGTTCGCTCTCGATGCGGGTCTAAGCGGTACGAGTTGCGCTGGAGAAGAAGTCGATCTCGTATTGGTCAAAGAGCTGGAGATTGAATGGCGCTCAACCCTAGGTTCCTCGATACCTGGCCGTGAGCCTGCGCGGGTAAAGCTAAAGGGTCTAGAGAGTGAGCTGTGCTTTACACTGTCGACGCTGGCATATGTGTATAGTTTGCAGGCTCGAGCGCAGCTGCACACACTCTACAATGCCACCGTACCCTCACCCGAACAACGCGCAACTGCAATCGGTGCTGCTATGAAACACTTTCTCGAGGCAGACTCGATACACACGTATTTGGCCAACCGAGCGGGTCAGCACAATGCGCAACCGGCAGCGGTGGATATCTCGGCACCTATGCTTGGGGCTCTAGCCGAGCTTACTATGGCCGAAGCTACACTCATCACCGTCCTCAAGGACGACCCATATCCGGCTGTTGTTATAGAAGACAGGAACAAACAGAGCAAGGACTGGATGTTTAGAGGCGTTGAGATACCCAAGGTCCGCGCGCATCTGTTTGCTCGGTTATGTCTTGCTTCCTCTGAGCACGCCGCGAAAGCTCAGGCTATGCTTGGTCGATCGCCGAAGATTAATGATGACCTACTCAAATATGTAGATGACTTGAGGCGGACGGCAAAGGGCAAGGCCTGTCGATTTCTCGCCTGCGACGCCGAGGCAAGCGCCAAAACCGGTGAAGGCATCGCGTGGCTAAGGGGTGCAAAGAAAGAACTCGGTTTCGCCTCGCTAGGTGTAGAATCGGACAAGAAAGCTTCCGGATTTTCCAAGCTCAAGAAAGACTGGCAGGAGAAGAGGGAAGATCGTAAGATTGAAAAGGGCGTAGACTGGGGCACCGATGCAGGCAAGTTCGAAGAAGGACGAATAGTCGACATGTTGCTGAAAAAATGGGAGAAACAGAATGACACGGTATGTTTGAGCATATGCATTTTGCTTGCTGATTTGACGTTGTGTTGTAGGTTGGCGTGCAAGTGATTCCCCCGTCCGAACCACTGTTGGCAAGTATGCCATCAGGACGTGAGTACCACACAACCAAAATGTTCGTCGTCCCCGCTCTCGACGAAGACGCTCTTGTCCGTATGAGAGCGCCCCCAGACCCCAGCGAAACATTCAAGGGCGGCGAAGACGACAGCGGAGATGAGGAAGACCCGAGTCCGCCAGTGGGTGCATTTCCAGGGACCAAGTCTGATTATGCGCCGAACACAAATTACTATTGATTGCAGATGTCGAGACGCATCTCGATTCCCCTCAAATATCCACTTTCGATAGGCTTGACAATTGTGGGCGAAACATGTGGAGACTCAAATACGCCACTAGCGATACCGCACACGCTTATCACAGCCACGAACGCCCTGTAGAACCCCGCGCGCTGTGCCGTTGAACGGAAACCTATGCCTTGTTTAGCATGTCCAGCCGTGGGAGTGTGTATCCCAGTGTCATGGTGTGCAGGTCAAGGGCGTAGATATCGGCATTACTCCCAGTAATAATAATCCCGAAACCTTGACGTTCAAGATACGCCACAACACCGCCTTATTTTGGGTTTGACAGCTTGGTTTACCAAATTCCGCCCCACATCTAGTGATACGCTGCAACATGCTAATCATCAGGTCATGCAATTCTTGCATCGTCTAGCGTACAGCCAAGTGGCTGCTTTCCAATGTTGCTATAGCGCTCCGTTCGCGTGCCATGTTCTACCCACTCCGTTGCCCCTAGGTGGTAGGGTATCCAAGCCGATCGCCTAGCCCTCCACGTCTGAACTGATAAAGAGATAGCGATAGCATGCCATGCACTTCAACGTCATTCGTCGACGCAACACGTTTATCGTCTCTCAAAGTAACTTCTCTGTCGCATACATATGTCTGCGCACAAATACCCGCTCGCACCTGTTCAAAGTCCGAAAATGCGTCTTGGTAAGTTTGGGGGTACCTGATTTGAATGGGGGTGTACCTGGTGTAACATTATATAGACATTGTGCCGCCTGTTGGTTTTTGATGCGGCAACACAAGCAAGAAAGCAAGTTTAACTCCTTTTGACGCACGTCAACACTCCTCTCATGCATACACCTATCTTGGATTATACACAATGAGCACCCAACAACGCCGGTCTGTGGGCCAGGAGCCTGTCATGTCTGTTCTACCAGACGGCGATATTCCATACGACCCAACACACACGTTCGATGCCGACGAGGAGGCACTGGCTGCGCTTGGTTACAAGTCCGAGTTCAAGCGCGAATTCTCCCTCTTCACTACCTTTTGTGTTAGCTTTGCCATCTTGGGTCTGCTCCCGAGTTTTGCCTCGACGCTTTACTATGGTATGGGGTATGCAGGGACCGCAGGTATGACGTGGGGATGGCCCTTGGCTATGATTGGCATTCAGTGCATAGCCATGGGCATGGCCGAGCTGTGTAGCAGTATGCCTACGAGTGGTGGTTTGTACTATGCATCTGCTGTACTGGCTCCAGGTAAATGGGGACCGTTTGCTTCATGGCTTACAGGATGGAGTAACTGGCTATGCCAGATCACTGGGGCACCGTCCGGCAAGTACCCCCTTTACATTTTGGGTCTACAATTGGGACATGGATTGACTTTCGAGCAGTCAACTACGGAGCTTCGGCTATGATACTTGCCGCCGCCAGTATCAACGATCCGTCGTATGTACCAACCGAGTGGCAGACCTTCCTCCTTACCGTCCTTCTCATGATCATTCATGCCGCCCTCTCATCTATGCCAACTCGATGGCTTGCAACGTTCAACTCTATAGGCTCGACATTCAACTTCATCGCCCTTATCATCGTCATCATCATGATTCCAGCGGGAACTGATCGCGAGGAACGCGGCCTCCCCCGCTTTACCCCATCAAGCGAGGTCTGGGGTACCATCTACGAAGGTACAGCTTTCCCACCCGGTATCTCCGTTTTGATGAGCTTCATCGGTGTCATTTGGACCATGTCGGGTTACGACGCGGCGTTCCATCTGGCAGAGGAGTGCTCAAACGCGAACATCGCTTCTCCACGCGCTATCGTCATGACGGCTGCTACCGGTGGTCTTTTCGGCTGGTTTCTACAGCTCGTGGTTGCGTACACGGTCGTTGACGTTGGAGCTGTCCTACAGTCCGATCTAGGCCAGCCTTTCGCTGCATACCTCATGCAATGCATGTCCAAGAAGTTGACACTGGCAATCCTCGCAATGACTGTCATGGCGGCCTTTTCCATGGGTCAGGGATGCATGATTGCAGCGAGTAGAGTAACATTCGCCTACGCACGTGATGATTGCTTCCCGCTTTCGAAATACTGGAAGCGAGTGAACAAGCACACACAGACACCCGTGAATGCTGTGTGGTTCAATTGTGCGATTGGCATTTGCTGCTTGCTCCTTATCTTTGGGGGTCAGTTGGCTATTGGTGCTTTGTTCTCCATCGGCGCTATTGCGGCTTTTGTGTGAGTATTAACCGTTCTTCCTTCACAGAAGGGCGTTTTGGAGAACGAATCCCGCTCACAGCAATCACAGCGCTTTCTCAATCCCCATTTTCATTCGCGTCGCTTTCGTGGGAAAGAACTTCCGTCCCGGTCCATGGCATTTGGGCAAATGGTCCACGCTTATTGGTACCATTGGGTGCTCTTTCGTCTTGCTCATGATTCCTATTCTGTGCTTCCCCAGCACCACTGGAGCTGAACTCACGTATGTCGCCAACCCACACATTCTTTTCACAACATCCCGCTAACACTCAAACAGCGCAAAAGGTATGAACTGGACGTGTGTCGTCTACGGCGGCCCAATGCTCTTTGTCACGATTTGGTGGTTCGTCTCGGCGCACAAGTGGTTCAAGGGCCCCAAGGTGAACATCGAACATATGATGTTGGGACAGCATGTTGTTATCTCGGGTCAGGCTGTGTCAGTCCATAGCAAGGATGAGAGTGGCTCTGAAGGCGAGGCCGTGATCGACAAGGGTATCAAGTCGTGAGATAGACAATTCACAGCGCTCTCATGGTGGAGTATGGTACGTTACTGCTGTTGCCACAAAGACCGTATATGAAGCTAGTTGTATTGTAGATACTTGGGTACCTAGTAATAGCTGAATTATTCTTTCAGGAAGTTTGTTTATTCGGTTCTCTTATGTTTTCACTCGGCATGAACCCAGACTCTCCGGAGCGAACAGAAGATGGTGAACAAGAAAGGAGATACGAAAGAAGGCTAATATAGCTGAGAAAAGAAAGAAAAATCTCGGTGTGGTAGCAACGGAGACGCAGACCGCATAATCACACCACCTGCTGCCAAGAAAGCGAGGAAGCTAAGAAGGGTAGTACCGTTATTCGGAGCTTACTCGACGGTTAGACAGGAAACATCTGTTTCAGTCAATGTATTGCGAATGAAGAATGCCATCATCGCAGATGCGACGCGTAGCCTCGTACCTCTAGAGCACCATGATGGATGTACCTAAAGTGGCAAGTTAGCCAGCCATCAAGGTACCTGGATGTCCACGAGAAGTCAAATGGACCTCACTCGTGATCTATACAATAATCCCAAATCATCTCTTACCAGGCCATCAAGTTCATCATGCACATCCACGACGTCCTCATCGTAGGCGGCGGACCAGCAGGTCTAGCAGTCGCAGCTCGTCTCCGCGAACACACCCCTTCAGCAACCTTCACAGATGACGAACACCAGCGGTACCACTGGATCCGAAAACATGGTCGGAAAATGAGCATCAAGAACTACAGAACCAACAAAGACTCACTTCCTACACCACCCTCATCCCCAGAAAGCTCAGACTGTGGATGCGAACACCAAACACCAGCACATGAGGCGATGGACATGCTCGTTCTCGATGCCGATGGCGCCGACTGGATGGCGAAGTGGAAGCGTCTCTTCAAAACGTTTCATATCGACTACCTGCGCAGTCCAATGTTCTTTCACGTCGACCCAGCGGATCGAGATGCGTTGCTTGGATATACATATGAGAATGAGAGGGAGAAGGATGTCCAAGCACTTCCAGGTGTTGCTGGTAAGGAAGTCAGCAAGCACAAGAAGAAGAAGACGATAAAATCACAAGGTCGATTCCTTGGCCGGACACCTGATGTAGACGAAAGAGACCGAAAGGACTACTTTGTACCGCGTACAGATCTCTTCGATGCACACTGCGAAGAGATCATCAAGCGATATCGCCTTGGTAACGATATGCTCCGACAGGAACGCGTAGTCAACATTGAGTATGAGGAGATTACGAGCTTCCTGGATGCAGAGAATGACAGTGTCTTCTCAGACGATGCATCAGAAGACGACAGAAAAGTCTTCCGTGTTACGACAGACCAAGGCGTACGTTATGC